AAGGAAATATGTGCATTTGTGGATTTGTTTGTGGGTTTTTTGTTATATGTTCTTTTATCATATCGTCATGAAGCTACTGTGGCGCCCCAGTAGGGCGAGTTTCAAATTTTCTATATAAAGAATGCCATGATGTTTATTATATTGTGTATGGAACGGCGTGGCTCGGCACTATGAGACTAGACTGCTGACCATAGAGTCTCAATTTTTAATCAGGGTTCAAGTCAATAGAACGCCCATGAGTCCAGCCAACTCTGATGATAATACCTAACTCACTTTTAACGGAAAGTAAAGGCGGCTAGGCTTAGTGCTGACCACACTATCACTTCATATGCCGAGATCAATAAACATATGAATTCTACATCATCATCCCATTGGATTTTTTTTTACTTTAAGGGGTTATGCTCTGTTTTTCTTTGTATTTTTTACAATTTAAGATCTAACTTTTTGAAATAGCTACCGGGCAGAATTTTCCAATTAGTAGCTTAATTACTAGAAGAAAATATATGTTTTTATCGCGATAATATGAAAGGGAGCTAACTTATTTGATCACAACCGTTTGAAAGATTCAGTTACGTGCCTTACTTTATTTTTTATTTTTTTTTATACGGAAATTCCATTGTTGATTATTGTTTCTATTTATTTTCGACATTCCATATTGCAGTGTTTCTGTTGTACACATAACTAACAATCAAATAATGAGTTCGATCTATTTAAGTAGGTATTGTTTCAATAAATGATTAATTTTGTTTATTCAAATGAAAATATACTCAGTTCATCTCAACACATTTTTTCTTGGATTAGATGGATGTTTATCATAACTAGAATAATAAATATCTCCTAACATTTATGTTTAAATAACTTTAAAATAAATAATTTTATAAAGATGGTAAATGAATGATAAATGATTAGCTTTAAATTAAAACATCATAGTATTAAAAATATACCGACATTACATTTATTAATAGTGTATGTGATATTATATAAGCTTTATTTTATGTTTCTTCATAAATAATTTTAAGTTCGAAACGCATCGACCTTCGAAACACAATAGCGTTTACTTAACCGTATCAGCTAACATAATATTATGTGAATTTATTACATTGTAATGATATACAGTGAAACATACATTGACAACAAATTAATAGTTCAATACATTTAAAAAAATTGTAACATCGGAGTCTCATTTGTATTTGCAAGTTCAATCTTAAATATTTTATTCTATTGTCCTAGCTTTTGATAACTTAGTATATCTACATTTACCACTTACAATGTAATCACTTTTCGTTGATGTTTTTGTTAATAGTTATTCATTTAAATGATGAAATAACAATTTTCATATTCGTAAAAACGCTCAAAAGTGTATAGGTTTGATGTCTACGATTTTTTTATTGATATTGATTGGTTCGAGTTAAATATAGATTGTCTCATAATAGCGCTCTATTATTTAGCAGCCGTGTATTGTTTTAGAGTGACATGTGTGGTATCAACGTGCTCTATTCCCGTATATGCGCTAGTCTTTGGTTAATGTTAGCGCTGAAAAATTTAAAGCACGTTATATAACTAGTTTGCTCTATAAACCGTTGATTCCATAAAATTAGAAAAAATGAATGGAGGAGGAATGTATAATGTTTAAGATAAACCCCATTTTATTTACGTTATTTGAGCAGGATTATGCAACATATATATATTTTTTTAAATGTTAGGTAATATTTGTAATCTCAAATGAGGGTTCATAATTATTTTTCTACGCACAAGCGTCTCCATTTAATCGGCAAAAGATAGTTCAGCGCATGCGCAGTGACCTTAAGAGTTGAGTCAGGATTAGGACCAGGGTTAGGGTTAGAGTTAGGGTTAGGGTAAGTGTTAGGTTAGGATTGGGGTTAAGATTAGGATTAGGATTAGGATTAGGGTTAGGGTTAGGGTTAGGTTTACGGTTACGGTTACGGTTACGGTTACGGTTACGGTTACGGTTACGGTTACGGTTACGGTTACGGTTACGGTTACGGGTACGGTTACGGTTACGGTTACGGTTACGGTTACGGTTCCGGTTCCGGTTGTGGTTATGGTTATGGTTTTGGTTATGGTTATGGTTACGGTTACGGTTACGGTTATGGTTATGGTTATGGTTATGGTTATGGTTATGGTTATAATTAGTGTTAGTGTTAAGGATAGGGTAAGGGTAAGAGCAGTGGCGTAGCGAGGTCGGGTGTCGTCAGGTGCGGCACTTAATGGTGTCACCCCCCCCCCAGAGGCTTAGCGACCCTTCCCGAGGACAAACTTTCAAACACTTTCGATTTGCACCCTCCACCCTCCACCCTCAAGTTTTCGATTTGCACCCCGCCCCTCAAACGTTCGATTTGCACCACCCCTCTCAAGTTTTTCTCTATATATTTTGCTATTTTTTGCCTTGGTGTCACCCCCCTAAATGGTGTCACCTGGTGCGGTCCACTTCCACCCCCCCCCCCCTCCCTACGCCCCTGGGTAAGAGTTGTTCGCTATGTTTGTAAACACACGAAAATGGAGTACCATCGAAAATATATCCATTTCTCTCAACTGCGCATCCGTATCTTTTAAAAAGCGTATACGAGTATCCGCTATTTCATTATGATTTATATAATCTTTATATTTTAATTAATGCTTTTTTAAAATTTCAAATAGGCTACGATTAAACATTTTTGTTACTTCTTTACCACAAAGAATATCAAAATCAAGTTTTTGCAGTATAGTTAAACACTCTGAAATATATTTTTAATGCTGATAGAATAGTTACACTAAGGTAGCAGGACCTTTTGCAAAAACTTATAAAAACCCACCAGCCCTTCTTTGAACACTTAACTTTGGGGAATTTTGGGGCATTAAAACTAGTGTTTTAAACGGACACAAATTTTGAAAATTCATAAAAAATTAGTTTAAAGATATGCACTTAAAACTTTTAGCTGAGTACCCCAAAATATGGAAGACGATTATGGATTGATTGTTTATTGTGCTCAGAGTTTCTTCCAGGCATCTCTTCGGGGGGGCAAAGCCCCCCCGAAAATTTTTTACCGCCCCCCCCCCCCGAACGAAATGAAATTTCTATAATTTATATAGAAAATATATACTTTTAACAGTGTCCGCCCCCCCATCCCGAAGAAAGTTTACCGCCCCCCCCCCCCCCCCCCGAAGATTTCAAGTGCCCCCCCCGGAGAAAAAAGTCTGGAAGAAACACTGATTGTGCTTAAAATGTAATATTTTTTGAATGGTGGAAAACCTACGAAGGGGTTAATTTTTCAAGATGGCCGCCGTTGTCATAGTTACCAAGATTTTTCTACCAATTTTTTTAGTGGAAATGCATATGCGGTTTTATCTTAATAAAGCTGTAAAGAAATAATTGTTTTCTAACAAGTATTAAAAAAGTTTTTTTTTTTTTTACCGGAGCCTTCCCCCTTAAAAAGGTTGGTATATATTCACAAAACCCAGAAGGCGCCGGGTATCTGCAACTAGTATTCAATAATAGTTACATCCCTTTAAAGTAAAGGAAAGCGGCAGTGCAATTTTCGAGTGTACAATAAGTATCGATTACTTAATAACCAAGTTAATTTTAATTCATTGTGAAACGTTTGAAGATCTCGTCTATATTATAAAGTTTTTAAAATATTTTTATTGATGAAAATAAAAACAGACAGCTAATTATAATTAAAAGCATTGAATATCCTGAACAAATTAAACATTATCTATTAATATCTATCGATAGCTTGTTTTACGGATTCGGTCATGGATCTCACGTTTGCCATTGTTCCGAGTAGCGATCTAGGCCTAAATTCTAAACGTAGCAGGTACATAATCAGGCAAGTTGTGGCGTTTCTACAACTTACAACGTTCAAAATATTTAAACCATAAGATCTAGAGCTATAATAATTAGATCTAGATCTAATATTAATTAATGATCTCCGCAGCTGAAGTCATTATCATTATCAATTATTATCCTTTGACCTTTGTTGATCGCGTATCTAGATCTAGATCTAGATCTAGTATAATCTAGATCTAGATAATCTATATTAGTATATTCTATAGATAGTCTAGATTTAGATCTAGATCTAGTTTAGGTACATAAAATCGGCTGAGGCTAGTGATGTAAAAAAAGGTGACGTATTAAATTTTAGTTATTATTTTACATTATTAGGAGGATTTAGATCTATAATATTTATGTTTTGAAAGTTACAAACATGTTTCAAAGTTTCATTATTGTTACATTGTACCTGTTTTTAAACAATCGTATTAAAACTTTTCAGTAACAAAGACTATCAATGTTTTCATCAGATGAAATCAAGCTCATTTACTTTAAATTTAGCAGCCATCTTAAAAAAAAAATTTTTTTGTAAAATTATAGTTAGGCTTAGAGATCCATGGGAATCCATTCTAACTTACAGATGGCCGCTGTTTATTATGCAAATCTTGCTCGCAAACACTGCTGTTTAAAGTTAATTTCTGGCCTATATTGATATATTTAGCCATTGATTTAGGTTTAATATTCATTTATCTATAATATTTGACACAAAAATATTACAATATAAAATCTACTTCTTTTAAAGCCTTGACAATGAGGTAACATTTTCGTACACTAATAGCTGCTGGCGATTTTACGTACCTAAAGCGATAGATTACCTATATAATATATTAGCAGTCCGGCTCTTTGCTGAGATGGTGGGAATTTTTAAATTTCAAAATAAATTCAAGCTAATATTAAGCCATTGATTTTGGTTTATTATTTAGTTATCTACAATACACTTACAAATTGTGTGTTACTCAACATACACGTGCAAACTAACTAGACAGACTTTTGAAATACAAAGCCATCATTTAAATGATATGATAACAGCAATTTTTCAGTACACTAGATCTAGATCTAGTATAAAACAGTATTCTGATATTTTCAGGTGTAATTTGGTGACAACTATGCCAGAGACTTGTGTATTTATTTACAGAGGGTTGGTGTTGTAAACAAGAACAGTTTAATCAAAATGGAGAGCAATGCTGGTGGAGTTAAGTCTAAGGTGATTAATGACTGTGTATGATGCATACCCTTTCGCTTTACACTGTGCAAATTCACCCAGCACCTACATCTTATCTAGGGTGTGGCATAAGATTTTTAGCTTTATTTTTGTTTAAGATGACTAAAACAATTAAAAACTACATTTATATATATATATTTAATTTGGTTCTAAGTTTAATTAACAGAATTGATCAGTAGCCATGGAAATGATTTTTAAAAAAAAAATCTTGTTTGTTTTTAAATGGCTATAATGCTTTGGGTGATATGATGGGTTAATTTTAAGGAGTGTTGTTGTAGCATGTTTGTCTGTTCAGCATTCAAATACATGGCGGGCTTAGTATTTTCTGTTGTCTTAGTCAAAATATTATTTTCACTCATTTGTTTTTCAGGGTCAGAGAAATGAATGCTTGAAATTAATTTATTATGTCAGGGCACTTGATTTTCTATCAGTTGCCAAAGTTTAAAAAATGTAGGGGCCTACATGATCTTCCGCTACTTTGTTCCCAGCAAAATGAAAAAAAATACTGTAGATGGAAAGTGCATTGCAAACACTAAATGTTTTTTGTTATAAGCTAATCAGGGGCATCTTAGAATTTGCTCATTGCTTGCAGCCATCAATATTAATGCAACAGCTTTAAAAAATAGACAAACAACAACCTCATCTTATCTCCATGATAAGATTTTTTGGTCTTAATTGTAGTTTTTATGTAGTTCACTTGTCATGTCTGATGTCCTTACTGTGTCCACTATATCAGCCAAAACAGTGTCCACTGTATCAATAAATCATCACTGTGTTGAATATTTTATTCAGTCATCACTATCTCCAATTTATCAGTCATCACTGTTGTCACTATATCAGTCATTAGTGTGTCCAATGTTTGAAGTAGTCACTAAAAGCATGATAAACACTTCATGCAATAAAAGACATTTATTTCAAATACAATGAAAGATGAATACTAGCATCACAGTATTATATATCAAACTTACTATAAACTTAAACATAAACAAATTTCAATTTAATAATATTATTTTACAGATCTCTATCCATGTCAATATTGCAGAGTGGCATTTTCAAATGTTTCCTTTTTGAAGGCACATTTAAAATTCAAACATGGAGGAGAAGAAATAGCCAATTGGAGTCTAGGTCGTGCTTCTAAGAATAGTGAACATTCTTTCCAGCCATCTAGTTATCATCAACATCTTACAATTTTTATGAAAAAAAAAGGCTTACAAGTGTGACAGATGTAATAAATGTTTTACAAAGCTTAGTCAATTGAAGAAACACCTTAGAAATCACACTGTGAAAAAGCCTCTTGAGTGTGAGACAAAAATAGGCCAATTAAAAAATGGTTCCCAAAATAAGCCTTACAGTTACAAGTGTGTCATATGTGGTAAATAGTATAATAAGCTTTTCCAAATAAAAAAACACCTTAAAACTCATACAGGATTAAAGCCTTATACTTGTGAAACATGTGGCAACTGTTTTTTGCAGTTTTCATGTTTACAGATACACCTTCTAATTCATTCAGGAGAAAAGCCTCACTAGTGTCACACATGTGGTAAATGCTTCACACAATTCTCAAATTTAAAGTGTCATCTTAGAAAAACCTTACAAATGTGGCACATGTGGTAAATGTTTCACAGAATCTAACAGTTTACTGATACATCATAGAGTTCATACAGGAGAAAAGCCTTTCAAGTGTGTCAAATGCAATAAATATTTTACAGTATCATCACGCTTAAAGAAACACTTTAAAATCCATACTGAAATAAAACCTTACAAGTGTGATACATGTGGTAAATGTTTTACAGCATTTTGGGATTTAACGAAACATGTTACAATTCACACAGAAGAAAAGCCTTACAATTGTGACAGATGTGGTAAATGGTTTAAGGATCGCGACTACCTAAAGAAGCACGTTAAAATACATTCAGATGATAAGCCTTACAAATGTGACAACTGTGATAAAATGTTTTCACAGATTACTCACTTAAAGGACACCTTAAAAATCAAAACTATGCAAAGTCTTCCAAGTGTGACAAATGTGGAACATGTTTCACAACAAATCATTGTTTAAAAAGCCACCTTAGATTTCACACAGGTGAATTACATTACAGGTGCGACAAATGTGGTAAATCTTTTGCATTGAAGAGCACTCTACAGATCCACTCTGCAATTCATACTAAACCTCATAAGTGTGACAAATGTTTCAGAAACACTGTGGAATCTATAAATGTGAAAAGCCTTTCAAGTGTGATAAATGTGGTAAATGTTTCAAACAAACAAAAACTTTACAGAAACACCAAGCAATCCATACTGGTGAAAAGCCTTTCATGTGTGAAAAATGTGGTAAATGTTTTGTGAGCCTGACCTATTTAAAGAACCACTGTAAAATTCATTCAGGAGATAAACCTTACATATGTGACAAGTGTGGTAAATGTTTTGCATTTTTGTCCATTTTAAAGGCACACAGTAGAATTCGTACAGGAGAAAAGCCTTACAAGTGTGTCACTTGTGGGAAATGTTTCACATCTTTCTCTGGTTTAAACAACCACAATGTAATTCACACAGGAGAAAAGCCTTACAAGTGTAACACTTGTGATAAATGTTTCACATCTAATTCTGATTTAAAGAACCACAATGTAATTCACACAGGAGAAAAGCTTTACAAGTGTATCACTTGTGGAAAATGTTTTACACAGCTTGCAAGTTTAAAGAAGCATCATATAATTCATACAGGAGAAAAGCCTTACAAGTGTGACACATGTGGTAAATGCTTCACACAATTCTCAAATTTAAAGAGGCACCATAGATATCATACTGGAGAAAAACCTTTCAAATGTGGCACATGTGGAAAATGTTTCACACAGCTTGCAAGTTTAAAGAAGCATCATATAATTCATACAGGAGAAAAGCCTTACAAGTGTGTCACTTGTGGTAAATGTTTCAGACATATCTCAGGTTTAAGGAACCACCATAAAATTCACACAGGAAAAAATATTAATAAGTGTGACGAATGTGGTAAATGTTTCTTAGAAGTTTCCACTTTACTGAAACACCATAATTCTCATAAACAAGAAAAGCCATACAGGTGTGACATATGTGGTTCTCGTTTTGGACGACGGCGCACTTTAAGAAATCACATCAGAACTCATACAGGAGAAAAACCTTACAAGTGTGACAATTGTGGTAGATGTTTCTCTCGGGCTTACAGTTTACAGAGACACCATAAAACTCATACTAGTGAAAAACCTTACAAGTGTGACAATTGTGGCAAATTGTTTAGGGAACTTAGCCATGTCACAAGACACCTTAGAATTCATACAGAAGAAAAACAAGTGTGGTAAATAAGGTACAAGTTTTTCTGCTCTTTCACATTTCTCCAACTAGCAAAGAGAACCCACAACTGAAATTATCTTTTGGGGGCATAAGCATCACTTCCATCACTAATTTCATTGTTCCAAGTTTAATTTTTTATTTGTTTGACTTTTACTGTTAGCATTTAAATTTTTAAACTTTTTTCTTTGTTTATTTTGTGTAGCTGAGTTAGAGGTCATCCATAAATGACGTCACGCTTTTTTTGACAATTTTTACCTCCCTCCCCTCCGTCACACGTCGTCACAAAAAGCCAGACCCCTCCCTAAAATGACGTCACACCTCAACCTACAACCCCCCCCCCCCCCTCAAAATTGCAGTTGAATTTTTTTAAAACATCGATATTTTTCTAAAATCTTGTCTAAACTATTACAATTTATTAAAACAGTTATCTAAAACGCGAAATAAAGTCTAAAATTAGTTTTCTAACATTGCTTTTTTATAATGCAAAAATGTGACGTCGAAACATCTGAACCCCCTCCCCTTCATCACAACAAAATTACGGACCCCCTCCCCTCTACGAGTGTGACGTCATTTATGGATGACCTCTTAGTATGTAGGTGTTAAGTACATTCTGGTAACTATTATTAAAAGTTTTAGTTAAATTGAACGGGGTTGTAAAAGTCATCAGGGTAACACAATATTGAATGCAAGTAAAAGGGTATATACAGGACAGATTTAGGGTTACTAGGGCCTTAAGCTATTTGAGATATGTGGACCTTTATATGTCAAACAGTATGTCAATGTTAGGTGTCAATTTTTTTTTAGTTTGAATCTACCAAGGCATTGTGATTAAAAAAAAATTCATTGCCAATACTTTCTCACATTTATTACTATTGCACAACAGTTTCATTTTTTCCTAGTGCTATTATAAAAATATGATGCAAAATAAATGAGCTGAAAGTTGAAAGGATCAAAAACAGTGTAAAAATCCTTTACTCCAGTTCTTAATTAACAGGTTAAATCCATCTCTCACCATGAGGACAATGGTTATCAATTGTCTAACTATTGATTTAAATCCCAGTGAAAACTGCAACAGATGTAGGCTGCACATACAATCCTACCACTCTAGTACTTGGAGGTTTCTTGATATATAGCATTCCTCAAGGCAATTTTTGGCTATATACTATACAATTTTTTATTATATAATGATCAATAATTTGCCACTCTATGGCATAGTCTAATGAGGCGGGGTACAATACTGACCACTCTATCCCTTTATATGATGAGGCAACTGAAACTAGTGAACTTTTCTTCACCTGTCCTGTGAGACATAGGTCATAAGGGGAACTTTATTTATTCACTTTACAAGGGGAGAACACATAACTTTGCTTATAGTTATATACTGCAACAGACAAAATCACATTGTAAAAGTTTACATGCTTTGAGCATTATTGCTTAGTAATTCAAAGGTCAATGTTTACTTTTAAGTTTATTTTTAGATGTAAGCATTTTTAGAATAATTCTTTGAAACTAGTTACATTTAAATTTGATTTGTTTAGCTTCATAATATTATAATAACTAACAGAATACAAAAACTATGCTAGGATTTCTATTAGAGACAATAAAACTAATGGTCCCTATCATAATATCTAATATTTCGCTCATCTAATTGTTTCAATAATATTTAATGCATATTTGGATATTTTGTCTTGCAGCTTTTTACACGCTAAATATACATCCGTTTGTACATGTTTTGATCACACTTTTAATTGCTAATTATACATTACACTTTTAGTATCTAATTATAAATTAAGTTCATGATTTTATATAATTAAAACTTTCACATAGAAAAATAAAATTATCCTCCTACACTTTACACAAACCATTAATCCTAACCCACAATTTTAAATCAAACCCAGAACTTCTTTATTTGACAGAAGGGACTTAGTTGTTAAATAAGGAATTTTAAAATGTAAAAATAATATAGTGCGTATGTATAGGAGTCTATTGGTTGCCTATTTAGCTTAAAAGTCAGAGTATCAAGAGAGGAATAAAATATATCAAAGATAATAATTAATAAGGATGCAGGTTGTAATGAAAAAAAAATCTTTGCTAAAGGTTGTAAAATAAAAATAGGTATCAAAGGTGAGAACATGATAACTCTGGTATACTTGACAATCTTCAACATGACAACCCTAGGTAATATGACAACCAAGGTGACAACCTTAGGCAACAGGACAACACTAGCCAGTATGCAACTCTAACCATCATGAGAATCCTAGCCAGATAACCAACCTTGCTAGTATGACAAACCCTAGAAACAATGAGAGCTTCAGCAGCATTACAACCTTTGCCAAGATGACAAACCCTAGCATCATGATAAAACCAATATGACAAAGCTAGTAGCATGACAAGCCTAGCCAATTTATTAACAAATCTAGCAACTTGACACACCAAGCCAGAATGGAAACCCTTGGCAAGCCCAGCCATTATGGCAATACTATGCCGTATGAAAAACTTTGCAAATGACAACTTTGGAACATTGAAAACCTTGGCAGCTTCACAACATGCTAATATGACAATCCTAGCAAATAATGCAACCCTAGCTGTAAACCAACATGACAACCCTAGCAGCATGACAAGCCAACATGTCGATCATTGGGAACATGACAACCCTGAGGGACCATAGCTAGAGTAGCAGTATGACAAACCAACATGCCAAACCTGGGGAACATGACAACCCTTGGAAACATGACAACTCTGGCCAACATGACAACCCTGGGGAACATGACAACCTAAATAACTTGACAAGCCAATAAAACCCTGGGGAACATGACTACTGTGGCAGCGTGAGAACCATAGCCAATGACTTTATGGCATTTCAATCTAATCCAGTGGTTCTTAACCTCGGTTTTACCGAACCCCAGGGGTTCAGAGTTTCTTCCAAGCAACTCTTCGGGGGGGCAAAGCCCCCCCCGAAAAATTTTTACCGCCCCCCCCCCCCCCCCCGAATGAAATGAAATTTATATCATTTATATAGAAAATATATACTTTTAACAGTGTCCGCCCCCCCGAAGAAAGTTTACCACCCCCCCCCCTCCCCCCCCCCAAGATTTCAAGTGCCCCCCCGGAGAAAAGTCTGGAAGAAACACTGATTATCCCCCGGACGTTTCCCCGTCCTTAACCCTTGTCTATTCACCACCCCCCCCCCCCCCCCCCCCGCCCAGTAGGACATTACTCCCAGTCATGGTTCAAGGTTTAGATCGGGTTAGAGCTAAATTTGAGTTTGGGCTAGGTGTAGGTCTAGGATTAGCGCAAGGGTTAGGCTAGGGTTAGGGCTAGGACTAGGGTCGGGGTTACGACTAGGGCTAGGGTCGGGGTTACGACTAGGTCTAGGCCTAGGGTTAGTGCTTGGGTTACGGTTAGGGTTAGGGGTACGATCTGTGTTATGCTTAAATAAATGTATAGAGTTGGGTTTGGTTTTTGGTTAATTATAAGGTGAGTTGAATTCTTAGGTTTTTCTTATTTGTCTTAAGGTTAAGATAATATATAGGTATAGAGTTGGAGTTAAAATCAGGATTCTATCTTGGTGGATGGGGGGGGGGGGGGTAATTCCCCAGGGGGGTTATTGACAGGGGGGTAATAGCTCTGGGGGAGGGAAACGTCCGGGGAAAATATCCATGGGGTAATGTCCTGCAGCCATTGTTAACGTAATATATGAATCTATACCAGAATGTAAGCAGTTATTACGTCAGTTCATCTGTGGATTAACCATATACTATATTATTATTTGGGCATTTGTGGAGATCTCAGTCATTGTTTCTACTTCAACACATTTATAATACAATTTCAACAAGAAACACTTGCTGTAACGGTTAAACAACGGACCCACTAAATAGTGTTTTTGTGTGCTGTGTGTAAGTGTATGTGTGTTTACGATTACCAACCAAAAACCACTGCTACAATGGTGTCAGAAGAAATGGTACCACCAAGTGTTGTTACAAAGAAGATAAATGTCTGAAATCCACTGGAGGAAATAAGTCTACGGTCAAGATGTAAACTGATGTTAAAATATGTTTGTCGTCTAATTATGAGACTTCTTCTTCTTCTTCGTTCTTAATTATTAGTGTTGAAGGAGATCGAGATTTATCTGCCAGTGGGGTTGAACTCGAGACTGTTCGAATTTATCAACCATGAGCTTTTTGCAGCAGTTGTTTAATTTTGGAGTTGTCTCTCCTAAAAGAGTGGCTGTCCCCAGCTAATGAGCCTCATCTGCCCGAGGGTTCGAACTCGAGACTTTTCGGTTTAGCAACCATGAGCTTTACCAACTCGACCACGCCGACCCTAATTGTGAGACATTCGAATAGATTCACCCTAGATGCACTGTCTAGGTTTTAAGTCTACGACAATATTTATTGAAATGTATGCTGTCTACATTGTGGACTAGTTTACCACAAACAGGGTTGGGTAGTGTCTGAATTTATTGTCTGCGATGTAGGTGTAAATTGTAGTTATTATTATCTATCCATATACACCCGAAATCTTGCAGCATTGCATGATTTACTACATATGTCACTTTTACCATTGCAATTTTCAAAATCTTTTTTTTAACATTTTTAGACTCAGACATGTGCAATTTAAAGCGCCGATTGTCTTGTCCTCCCCCCCCCCCCCCCTCTCTCCATGTACAATCGTTTCGACCAAGACAAAGCACGACAAAATTTCTAGGGATTAAGATTTTTAAAAATAAAAATAAAATAATGAAAGTAATAAATTAATAAAAGAAAAAAAAATAGTTAAATAATAATTAATTACAAAAACTACTAAACTAAATACTTTCATTTTAAAATATAATAACGAGCAACTATTTTAAGTGTCACACTTGTTGGGTCGCTTTTTAGTTTAGAATTATGTTATTGTTAAAATGTCAAATTCAAATTTAATAACACTTTCTGTCTGGTAATATATAATATTAGCGTTTCTCCACGCAAACGACCTCCGGGCAAGTGTCACGTTGTGTACTTCTGGCATACTGGCAGATGTTCATTCTTGCGTTTGCTGCATTCAGGCAAGTGTCCATTATAGGAAACGTACTGTTCCCGTTCTACAGGTCGATTCTAAGATACATGCCCTACAGTAATGACGCTGGTTCAGAGTAGATGGTAGAAACCGGCTATAGCTTAGTTAGCTAAACAGACCAAATGAAATCCTGGAGCTGACCGGTCACGTAAGAAGGTCAGCTGACCACTGAAGCGTGGGTCAGAAGTTAGATCAGCGTAGTGGAATATAGGTCGAAGTAAGGAACAGTCAGGGAAATGTAAAGTTAGGTACAGAGTTGTACAGAATGTAGTGTGTTATGATTCGTCTTGGGAGTGCGTTGTTAGAACAAGTAGTACAATATAGAACAGATTAGCTAGGAATTTGATTGTGTCAATTTTAATAAAGAACATTATATTTTGACTTGGACTGTGTGTTGGATCTTCTCTTCATCGAATTACCCCACCATCACATTTGGTGGTGTTGCTTTTCCCCACCCTCACAACTGGCGGTAGAATGTCTATTCATAATTCACCCTCCCCCTTACATCTACTAATGACCATTTTATTCCAATTGTTAACAATGTATACACAAAATCATCGGAGCTAACAACATGCCAGTATATGTTTGCTACCTACTCAGCCATCTGCTACATCTTCATCGTTACTAAACCTGAAATACTACAGCCACAGCATCATAATTCCCCAATACTATTATTACAACATTTTTCTAACCACACCTCAATTTTTTCTATTAACACCCATCCTCTAAACTTTCGTAAAAATCTGACTTCGCTTACAAGTTTTTCCTTTTCAGGAAACATTTGTTTACTTTGTGGCTTCTATAATTCATACTTTACTTTTCGTTGTCCAACACAAGCTAACTTCGTATGGTTGTCAGTGTTTTTAAAAAGATTTTCCTTTTTTTTCTTTACACCGTCATTAGTTTTGGAGTTTTCCTAGATAAATCTATTATATCTTAACTAAAATAAACGTTTAGTAAACTAGTATAACGTTAGTAGCATTAAACCAGCTGTGAAATCAGAGTTTATCAAAAACAAATTGTGTGACTTTCATCGACATCTACAGCTTCGTAAATAAAATGTAAACAATATTTTTTTTTCATTGTGTTTTTTATTTACGTTGCTATGCTGTCATACATAAAGGTTCATTCGAAGCCTTTGCAGATAATATCTTGCCTTTACCAAGGTAATTTTTCGCAGTATCCAGTTGGGCTTGGGCCGTAAGTATTGCTCCTAATTTTTAATGATTAAAAATAATAATTAAGGCGGAAGTCTCTGGTAAAAAAAAAAACTATTTAATATTCATTAGTGAACAATTGTTTATCTAAATCTGATTTAAGGTACATCTGCATATGTGTTTCCATAAAAAAATTAATGGGATAATCTTGGCAACGATGACAGCGACGACCACCTTGAAAATTGAATCATCTTCGTAGGATTTACACCATTCATAAAATATTATATTTAAAGCCAAAATAATAACGAATTCATAATTTTCGACCATATTTTAGGGTACTCAGCTAAAAGTTTGAAGAGCATTTCTTCAAACTAATTTATTATGAATTTCCAAATTGTGGGTCCGTTAAAAACACTAGTTTTAATGCCCCAAAATTTTGTATTTTTAAAGGACCCAAATTTGACCCATTTTTTAAAAATTAAAACACATATGTGGATGTAACTTTAAAAGCTGTAGAAAAAAAGTTTTTACTCTCTAGAATTTTTTTTACTGGAGTCAACGCCCTTGAAAGAAATATATTAGTAATGCCTAAACACAGACAACACGCTTCAATTGAAACTTACCTACAGTACGAATTTTTGCAACAGTTTGACATGTTATTTTTATACTTGCAATATCCATATAGACCAACACACGCAACTGTGGCTCTGAAATATTCATTAAAAATTATATGAACCAGGAAGTATGAAGATTTCGTGCTGAGCGAATGTTTTCATTGTTTTATTTTAATTAGCAACGGGCAACAACAATTATCACACAATTATTATTGATGCTCTTTTTAATTACCTAAATTAATTAATTATCCACCAATTTCTTGAAACGAAATGCAATTTTTAATTCGTTTTTAATTTAAATCTAATCGCAGCAGATAAAAAAAGTATAGCAAAACAACTGGCAATTCTTAATTATCTTTTAAATTGTCAGAAATTAAAAGTTATAGACTTGCAAATTTTAAAAATCAAATCTAAACGCAACAAGTATAGTAAACATACCTGGCAAATTTTATATCTTTATAAAATGTATAGATTTATGAAAACACAAATAATTATTGTCACAAAAAATTGAATAATGTTTATGATTGTACTTTTGTAATATCTACATTTTTAATTTTTATTTAAATGTGTTAGTGACGAAACAAGGCACACAGACACAAACCTCTTAATGAAAAGACGTTTCAAAAGAGTTTCTTCGCCACCGTCGTCATACTGTTGGGCTACTGCTAAAAAAGTTTGCAAAAAAGTCTAGTTTATGTGAAACGGGTGAAGTCACTTTGTTGACGAAACTGTTATTTATTTCATTCTATGTAGGTTATTTGGTATATAACGTATTTTTACTAAAAGTATATAAACTGTATTTTATGAAAAAGTTACAACAAAGAAGACAAAATGTTATTTTATGAACTTCTACCACACCATTAGGTTAACCGGGAGTTGAACTTTAACTGACCTAGAGTTCAAATTATAGTTTTATAGCTCATAGGTTCAACACATATAAAATAAACCTTAAAGACAACTTAAGCTACCTGCTATAAATGTGAAACAGAAAGTTAACATCATCAATAACTTCATGTTGAATCTGAAAAAAAATGTTTATACTTTTATACATATATGTAGCCTATGTATCCTTACTAAACTGTCACTATATTTCAAATATTTCGAGTTTTAGTCTTTGGCAAAAAATAATTTACGTAATTATTTTTATAAAATGAATTCACCAACAAGTATGAAAACATTAGTTTTACTCCTTACCTCCGTAAAGTTTAATAGGCTATCTTACAATAAAGAAACAACTACTTGCTATTGTCGTTAAACAGACTGAGGCATGAGAGGGAATATATACAATCAGATAACTTGCTCGATAACAGCTGCAGCTGTTTGTAGCTTCTGGTTACAGTGGCAAAATTTAATATCGGTATCTTTTTTTAAGTGAGCTCATCATAATCCATGCTCGCCTTAAAGAAATATAGAAATGTGTTCTTTGTTCTTCATTGTACATTTGTTAGGAATTTCTCGCAACACAGTTACCTGTTACCTGTCAAGATTTGGCATGTTTATTCCGTCCGCAACCTGTTTTTCATTTTTAAAGTGATTCCACAGACTTCATCAATTAAAGGAAAAACTTTAATCGACAATCTTTGTTTTTAAATTAATGTGGTTTGACTTTTTCTTGCAAGTATTATAGAATGGCCTGTTAGTCTGGTTTAGAAATATTATGTTTTACATTTGTAATATTGTACACTGATCGAACTGTAATTCAATAAAAATATGAGGTAAAATAAATTCGCTATTCTTAAATATTTAGATAATGAAGCTATTATAGTTAAGGCATAGCAACTTTTGACGTATAAAACTTTTGAAAGCTTATATTATATTTCTCACTTAACCTGGAAGCAACAAAACATGTTATAGTTTCTACAATAAGTTATTGACTTAAGGTAAGATTTTAAAACATTCGGTCGCGTCTGACGGAGGTGCGAATCTAAAATATTTCAGATACACGTGTTTATTATGTTTTATTCATTTATCCACATTATTTGTTACTTATTCCTATATATCGTTGCTTATGTATAAATGAAGACCAAAACAATGACAGATTTTTAACATAAAAACAAATAGTACTGTGTAATTAATTGGGTTTCGTATAATTGCCGTATTTGTTTAAACAAAATATAAATTATAATTAAACATGTTCCTAATAATGTAATGCATATCTCGTACATTTTCCAAGGGATTACTAGGTATGCAGTGTCTTGGGATCAAAGCGTACGTGTTTAATGTTTATGGATTCAAAATGTATACAGTATACTATCTGGGATTTGAATTCGTTTATGTGTGTAGGTAATCGTACCACGGGAATTAATACATTTCTTAACGGTCTTAATTTCTAATTCTTTTAAATATTAACATAAACTACCTAAAGCTTAGCAAAATTTGTTATTTGAAACAAACTAGATTAGGGAAAAAGCTTATATGTAATCTTGATAACATTAGCCTTAAGATTTTTATCCAGGTTCAAATAACGACTCATTGACGTCTACGATTTCAAATGCAGCTAAAATTATTTTAAGATAAGCTTTAAGATGTTGATTTCATATCACGTAACAGACCAGTGTCTCATGAAAATATATTTAATCTCGTGGAAAATATAGTTCGTCGCTGATATCCTTTTAAAAGAGTTATGAAGTTTAAACATATTCGTCACATAGAATAGAATAAAAGATAAAATAATTAGTCATTAAGTAGCCTTCATAGCTATCCATTTCA